CTATCCTGCCACATTTTCATTTCTTGATGGTGTCCTTTAGAGCACAAAAGTTTTGATTTAGATGAAGTCCAATTTTTTTTTTAAATTTTTTTTTTTTTATCCTCACCCGAGGACATTTTTCCATTTTTTGTTCAGATAGAGTCGGAGGGAGTAGGGGTGGGGGGGGGAGAGAGAGAGAGAGAGAGAAACATCGACGTGAAAGGGACACATTGAGTGGCTGCCATCCGCACAACCCAACCAGGGCCAGGGACAAACTACAACTGAGGTACGGGCCCTTAGCGGGAACCGAACCCGGGTCTCTCTGGACCACAAGCCGACGCTCTAACCGCTGAGCCAAAGTGGCCAGGGCACGGAGATTTATTTCTACGTCTTCTTCTAGAAGGCTTATAGTTTTAGCTCTTATACTTAGGTCTATACTCCATGCACACTCATGTTTAAGACCACTGGTTTGGGTTACATCCTCTACCTATCATGGCTAATCACTGTTCTTCCCAAAGACATTTCATACCCTAAGAAGAATTTTAAGTCATTTGTTAGGATGATGGAAATAATATTAAAACAGCTAACAATGTATATCGAACACTTGCAATGTACTAAGTATTTTACATTACATAATCTTGTTCAATTGTCACTATGTTTGTATTTTAATCTCCTCCACTTTTCATGTTGTCATATACTTTAAGATGATGTAATACCTGTCTCCTCCTTTTATGTAAAAGGAAATACCAGCACTTGTTTGTATCAGTGTAAGCCTATCAATAATCAATGTTGTAGTTGGACAAGCCCTTGTGGTTCTTATTGTGATTTTAAGATGACCTTCAGCAATAACTATCAGGAAACTTTGAAAAGATAAGGTTTATTACTTATAAGACCTGTAAGACCTGAAAATTACATAGCACACCCGGGGCCACTCAACAAGGTTATGAAGAGAGACAGAGAGAAAACACTTACAGGCCTAGGGTGCTGCTTTTATTTGTGGTGGGTGATGGCCTAGGATTTCATGGGCTCACACTTTATTGGTGAATTTAAAATTTTCATGGGCTCACACTTTGGTGAATTTAAAGCCCAGGAAGAGAAAACAAAAAACAAAATCCAAGTAGCCCAAATGTTACTTAAATCAACCAATATCTCTAAAACAAAGGAGCCTCAGTGGGGGGAGTTGGTCTGGCTGTTTATCTAGTTGTATGGCTGGCGATGTGTTTACTTGAGGCAGCCGCCTTTGAAGTGGATGCCCAACAATCAAAACTTAAGACAGGTAATTGCGGTATAAAAAAGAAAAAAAAATCCAAATGTCAGGGCTTACACTACACATATCTTTAGGAAGGAAGGTTGTACAAACTAAATAAGCTAATGTGTGTTAAAAGTATGGCACAATGTGCCCGGCTGGTGTGCCTCAGTGGTTGAGGGTTGATCCATGCACCAAGAGGTTGCTGGTTCGATTCCCAGTCAGGGCACATGCCCAGGTTATGGGCCAAATCCCCAGTGGGGGGCATGCAGGAGGCAGCCAACCAATGTTCTCTCTCATCGATGTTTTTCACCGATGTTTCTCTCCCTCTCTCTTCCTCTCTCTCTAAAATCAATAAAGAAAAAAAAAAGTATGGCACAGTGCTTGGCAGAGGAGGGCTCAAAGGATGAGGGTGCCTCTCTCTATTCCTTTATGATCCCCTCTGTTGTAGACCAACGAGACAGACCAGACTTAGATTCCGAACTGGATTCAAATTAAGAGAGCTTTATTAGCCATGTGGCGACTGGCCCATCCTACACAGAGGAGAGAGCAGCCACGAGCTCAGGGGGCGGGTTGCTTATATAGTTGTCTTAGCCCCTGTTATGGAATTTGGGCTAAAGTTTAGCCGTTACGCCTGAGGGATGAATTAACTATACAATGGGTTAACTCTGGCTGATGTATACCTCTCCTTCCTTGCTTAATGGAACAATTTTTACTGTATGTTCTCCTAGCATGTGTTTGTCCTTCACATCTCTCCCAGTGGAGCCCTGCTCTTCCCACTAGTCAAGAAAGTTATAGGCTCCAGGGCTGATTTTTGCATTCTGCTAGTATCCTACTCCCCTTCTTTCTTCTCTCATCATGATTTGAGATTTTACTTTTATTTGTGTTATTATTTTTTTTAAATATTTTTCTTTTACTGATTTTAGAGAGAAAGGAAGGAAGAGGGAGAAAGAGATAGAAACATTGATGAGAGAGAACATCGATTGGCCGCCTCCTGCACATCCCCCACTGGGGATCGGGACCACAACCTAGGCATGTGTTTTGACCGGGAATCGAACTAGTGACCTCTTGGTGCACAGGTCGATGCTCAACCACTGAGCCACACCAGCTGGGCTATTTGTGCTATTCTTAAGACTATCACATCTCTGCAACTACTCTCCAAGTTCCATAAAAGCAAGGGATACAACTTCGTCATTGCAGTATTTCCCCAGCACCCATTATAGAGCCTGGGGATATAATGATTTTAAAAATATATACACTTTCTGGTTTAAGATTCTCCAATGGCACATGAATTGCACTTTGTTTTTTTTTGTTTGTTTGTTTGTTTTATCCTCACCTGAGGATATTTTTCCATTTTTTGTACAGATAGAGTGGGAGGGAGAAAGAGGAAGGGAGAGAGAGAGAGAGAGAAACATCGACGTGAAGGGACACATCGAGTGGCTGCCACCCGCACGACCAACCAGGGCCAGGGACAAACTGCAACCGAAGTATGTGCCCTTAGCGGGAACCGAACCCGGGTCTCTCCGGACCGCAGGCCGACACTCTAACCGCTGAGCCAAGCCAGGGCTGAATTGCACTTTGAATGAAGCCCAAATTCCCAAACATGGTAAACAGGTCCCTACCTGATTGGCTCCTATCTGCTTCTCCATCCACACCTTCTACTACTCTCTCCTCTTGAACTATACCATACTTGTTTCCTTTCTCAAACACCTCTTGCTGTTTCCTGACTCAGAGTCTATACCCTCCAGTTTGGAAGCTCTGATTAATTTCTCATCTTTTAGGTCTCAGCTTGAATGTCATCTCTTCCCAGAGCCTTCCCTGACCACCCTGTCCAATGTTAATGTTATCATTGTAATTAGCTAGTTAATATTAATAACAGGAGAGCAAAGGGAGGCCAGACATTATAAGCGTGGTCATCTGGGCAGCTTCACCAGGAAGCTACAGCTTCATGCTCCCCAGGGAACCACTAGTCCATTCTCTGCAGGTCACTAGGATTGAACAAAGGGAGAGCTGGATGCAAGCTCAGTGAAGCCTGGGTGACGTAGGGAAAATGCTTGCCTGTCACTCTGGCCCAGGGAATGATGGATTGGCTAGGGAGTGGACTCCTTCAGAAGCATGTGAAATCTTGGAAGCTCCTAGTTTAAATCCCCGGACAAAGAGTTCATTTCTCTCATTCTCTTTTGCTCTTGCTCTTGTTCTCTTTTGCTCATGACCTGCACTTGCCCATGAGCTCACTTGCTCTCTCTTTATAGCTAAGTGGCCTTAAGCAGCTGCATGGCCCATGGCCATGCAGACCCCACATGCAATGGACTGCAGTTGGGAACACAAGCTAAACTAGCCAGATGCTGGACTGGACTGTACTTTAATATGGAACAGAAATTCTGGGCAGTGGCCTTAATTCTGGCCCTGCTGAAGACAAGACTGGACTTTTTCCATGATGGACTGGACAGAGGACCTTGGAAGGGAACCCCCACCTTAATTTTATAAATCAATAAAGCTTTCCATGAAACCCTATCCTCAGGAAATTTTTTTCCTCGTGGCACCCCAAGGACTCCACTTCCACTGATAACATTAACACTACCCTTCCACCAAGTTATTCTTTTTTTTGCTGTTGGTAATCCTCATCCAAGGATATTTCTTCCATTGAATTTTTAGAGAGAGTGGAAGGGAAGGGGAGGGGAATGTGAGAGAGACACATCAATTGGTTGCTTTCCGTACAGGCCCCAACCAGGATCCGAATGAACTTGCAATGTAGGTATGTGCCCTTGACTGGGAATTGAACCCACGACCCTTCAGTGCACCAGCCAACGCTCTAACCAGTAAGCCACACCGGCCAGTGCCCACTAAGTTATTCTTGATCATGCAACCTGTTTCATTTTATTTACAGATCTGAAATTTCTTCATGTTTTTATTTAATACTAATGATCATACTTAACATTTCAGCACACACCATAAGCACTTTTCATATATTAATTAATGAAGTGGTGTGCTTCTGAATTCTTATCAAAGGGCTCTCCAAACTCCAAAAAACTAATTTGGAGTGTGTGCTGACTTCTGAAGTATAAACACCCATCAGGAGGGATTTCAAATTACCAACCTGTTTTCACTGAACACGGATTTGGGAAGGGAAGGGCAGTAAAGTATACCATTTATACATTTGCCATAGTGAAATAGCAGTGGTAAATAACCTCAAGAGTACAGTTAAAACAAAGTGTAGTAAAATAATTAGGAAGTGATGAGTATTTATTACCTTGTTTTTAATATAACTTTAGTTGTAAGTTTGTAGAATTTATTTTTTTAAAATAATGGTTGTGTTTAAAAGCGGCTGGCAAAGTTTCTAAGCATTCCTCAGTTGTTTCTAGCAGGCACTAGGAGTCAACAGCATCCTTTTTCAGATGAGAGATCTGAGGCACAGAAAGGTTAAGCAACTAGTTCAAGGCCTTAGGGCTAACAAATCTGTCTACTACTTCAAAATGTATCCTCAGAATCCAATATAGTGCGTAGCAATAGTTGGCGTTTGATACACAATTGTAAATACATAAATACATATGTAATATTCTTTAAAAACATAAAACGGAAACATTTAAACATTAAAAACATCCACACAAGAGTAAAACTAACATCTCTTTGAAACTCGCTCTCAATCCCAGGAAGATAACTCCCTAAACCGACTGTTTCCAGCAGCACTTCAACATCCCCTGAGCGCTTTTACAATTCACCAGCTATCACAGGGGACGCCACCCAATCCTTCGCTACAAGTTTGGGATGCCCCGCTTTCCGTCGTCTCGCCCTGGGTGACCGCAAGGGTTCCTGGGAATAGTAGTCCCCAGTCCGGCAGCTCTGGCAGCAGCAGCCCCGCGCGCAGGACCGCAGAACTACAGAAGTGGCGCACGGGTTGTGAGGCTCTTCCGTCTTCCCTTTCCCTCCCCGCCGGTGCGCCCGCCCCAGCTGTCATGGCGGCTCCCTTGGCCCTAGTGCTGGTGGTGGCCGTGACCGTGCGGGCGGTCTTGTTTCGCTCCAGTCTGGCCGAGTTCATCTCAGAGCGGGTGGAGGTGGTGTCTCCACTGAGCTCTTGGAAGAGAGGTGAGGCCACCGGCTCGAGTAGGCGGGCAGGTCCCGCTTGTGCTCTCCTGGCCTCTGTGAATGGGAGGCTGGGGCAGTGGCCGCAAGCTCCAGATTCTGACCTGGTCTCCGAGGGCGGGGCCTAACCACGCGGGTGCTTGGGGAGGGGGCGTGGGACTGTTTGGTGTGGGTTGGGCCCTAAGATCCGGATTACCTGAGCGATGGAGATCTGAAGGGGTGTGTCCTACTGGGGTCCTGAGCCGAGGGGTATGGTCTGAGGAAGGGGCGGGATACATAGAAGGCATGCAGGGTGGAATGGGAATTGAGGGAGGTTTGGGATTTAATGCAGGATGTCAAGTGATGCTCCCTGGGGTATGGAATGGTGTATGAGGGGGCCCAGGGTGAGGGGACTAAGCTTGCCTAAGCGAGAAGCGTATATGAGGTGCTTAGATGCCTGTTCTTAGTCAGGGACTTATAATGCAGCTTTTCCTACTGTTTCTTACTTCTTTAAGATCTTCATTAAACATTGCTTTATACCTAGAGCCTACAATGAGACAGAATTTGGGCTGAAGGATCCACAGATCATTCCAGTGGGAGAGACAGTTACAGTCATTTATGAAAAGTGTACTTCCAGTGTATATCCAGTTCCTTCCTTGGAGTTCTGACCTCGAAGAAAGTATCCTCTGCTTTTCCAGTTTCCTAAAGATGAGGGATTTGAGCTAACTCTTGAAGGATGTAGAGTTTGGAAAGGGAGATTAGAGAAAGGGGAGTTCCAGGTAGCAGAAGGTAAACAGGATCAATAAATGTTGAAAGATGTGAAATGTCCGAAGCAGGGGAGAAATGGGGTGGGTACTAGGTTAGGGTCAGAGTTTGAAGATTTTTTTTTTTCTCACTGAAGTACAACATACATACAAGTGCCCATATAATAAGTGTAGAGCTTAATGAATTTTTACAAACTGTGTATACCATGTGGGCAGCACCCAGATCAAGAGACAGAACAGCCCTGGCCGGTTTGGCTCAGCAGTTGAAGCGACGGCCTGCGGTCCAGAGAGTCCCGGGTTCGGTTCCTGCTAAGGGCACGTACCTCGGTTGCAGTTTGTCACCGTGCGGGTGGCAGCCACTCAATGTGTCCCTTTTGCGTCGATGTTTCTCGATCTCTCTCTCTCTCTCTCTGTCTCTCTCTCTTTTCCTCTCTCTCCCTATCTGAACAAAAAGTGGAAAAATGTCCTCAGGTGAGGATAAAAAAGAAAGAAACAGAACATTACCAGCACCTCAGAAATCCCCTTCCTGTGCTTACCTTTAAATTCTAGAGTTTTGATGTTATCTCATAGACATTTTGGAATGGGAAATGGCACAATGAATGTTTGAGAATAATTGAAGATAAGATTAAAAAAAAAAACTATGTATCAGAGACTATGATAAGCCTCATTTTATCCTCCAGTTCTTCTCTGTTAGATGGTGTTACTTTCCCCATTTTGTGGTTGAGGAAACTGAAATTTAGAGAAATTAAGTAATTTGTCCAGGTTTCCCAATTAACAAATAGTAATAAAGGTAGTAGTAATCATATGTATGATGGTAAGAGCTTAGATTTGATATCTGCATATAATATTTGCATATAATTTTTTGTTGAAGCCACTTGATTCCTGCTTTCCCAAGGCAGTATTTGGCCCTCCTTCCTCTGCTCTCTTAGCACTTTATACATACCTCTATTAAGAGCATTTCTCATTTTATATCATAATTATTTATGTTTGCTTTCTCCACTGTATTATGAACTTGAAGGTCAGAACCGTTTTATTCATTCCTGAATTATTTGTGTCTGGCATAGAGTAATTGCATAGTTACTTGCTGAATAAATATTGAAGAAAAGAAACCATAAGATCTGGTTGCTTATAGGATAGACAGGGTGAAGGATCCAAGATGAGGCAATGTAGTATGGTGATTAAGAGCACAGGATCTGGGATCTTAAAAAGGGTTTGAGTCCCTTTCTGCCTCTGCCACTTACTATCTGTGTGACCTCTAACATCAGCTTTCTGATTTATAAAATAGGAAGTTATAATATATACCCGTTAAATAAGAAGCTCTTAGAACAATAATGAAAGTCAAAATGGCTAATTCTAAGATTTTGAGTTTATATAATAAAGAGAACATCCTTTCTGGCTGAAATAAGTGAGTCAGAAAGGATAGCAGTGTTTGATAGTGTATATAAGTTGATAGCATGATATTCAAAGATTTAGGCCTGAATATTGGGGCCAGTGTCAGGGCTAGAGAAAGATTTGGTAGTCACCCATCTGGATCCAATTGTCAGGATAATTGTTTCATTTGGGGTGGGGAGGATACAATATCTGTTAAGTATCACCTGTCTTTATTTATTTATTTATTTTTTATCCTCACCCGAGGACATTTTTCCAATCCTTGTACAGATAGAGTGGGAGGGAGAGAGAGGGAGAGAGAAACATCAATGTGAAAGAGACACATCGAGTGGCTGCCACCCGCACGACCAACCAGGGCCGGGGATAAACTGCAACCGAAGTACGTGCCCTTAGCGGGAACCGAACCCGGGTCTCTCCGGACCGCAGGCCGACGCTCTAACCGCTGAGCCAAACCGGCCAGGGCAAGTATCACCTGTCTTTAGAGTATACTTTAACATGGAATTTTTTTTTTTTTTTGGTGGTACTTGCCCCTAGCGGGAATCGAACCCGGGACTCTCTGTTCCGCAGGCCAACGCTCAACTGCTATGCCAAACAGGCCAGGGCAACATGGAATATTTTTTAAAGCAGGTGATTGTTGTATTAAGCCCTAAAAGGTAGGCATTTAATATATTGAAGTAGGAGCCTTTCTGGTTTCACATGACTTTTAGTTTAGTTTAGTTTTGTTTTGTTACTCCTCACCCATGGATATTTTTCCACTGATTTTTAGATAGAGTGGAAGGGAGAAAGGGAAAGAGAGAAACATCAATGTGAGAGAGACACATTGATTGGTTGCCTCTCACATGACCCCGACAGAGCTGGCGATCGAACCTGCAATCCAGAGTCTGGGAATTGAACCCCAGACCCTTCAGTCTGAGGGTCGGTGCTCTAATTGCTGAGCCAAACTGGCCAGGTGTGATTGATTCTTGCATGTACCCTGATCAAGGAGCAAACTCGAAACCTTGGCATATTGGGACAATGCTCTAACCAACTAAGCTACCCGGCCAGGGTCAAGAAATTACATTTTAGACAACTACCTGAATTGTGTGTAGTCTGATCCTCTAGCTGTATAATCAAGAATCTTCCTCTGGATTAAACCAGTGGAGAGTGCTATTCCTGGACAGCATCTTACTTGTCCTTTGTAGAGTTGCTTTTATTGCTCTGTGGTAGGATTCCATAGACTTAGATTGAGAGTTGCCTTGTGAAATGGCCTGATGAATCATCTCCATGGGTCTCTAGTAAAACTGTTAGTGAAGGGTTTAATAGTTGTGTTACACAGCCTCTTATGTGGCTTCTTGAGGGAAGTTTCTTTTTGGTCCCAGTATAAGGACCGGTTACAATTTGAGCCAGTTGTGTAACTGATTAGGTTTCCTTCTGGGGGTGGGCAGGGTGTCTGTAAAGTTTAAAGCCATATTTATGGCCACTCATTAACAATATATAGTTTTTTTGAACAGGCTGTATAACTTGAATTGTTTAATTAATTAATTAATTAATTAATTTATTTATTTACTTTTTTAGAGAGAGAGAAGAAGGGAGAGAGAGAAACATTTTTTTTTTTTATCCTTACCGGAGGACATTTTTTCATTTTTTATTCAGATAGAGTGGGAGGGAGGGAGGAAGGGAGGGAGGGAGGGAGAAACATCGACATGAAAGGGACACATCGAGTGGCTGCCACCTGCACAACCCAACCAGGGCCAGGGACAAACTGCAACCAAGGAACATGCCCTTAGCGGGAACCGAACCCGGGCCTCTCTGGACCGCAGGCCGACGCTCTAACTGCTGAGCCAAACCAGCCAGGGCTGAATTCATTTTTACTTACTTGTGTTTGAATAGGTAATTCAGTCACATGGTTCAAATTTCAAGGGTACAAAAGGCTATATGATTAAACAGCACCTTTCCACCGCTTTCCTATAGCCACCCAATTCTGTTCCCTGAAGGGAACAGTTTCTCATGTATATCAATTTCTTACGTATATTTGTGAGATATTATATGCATTTATAAGCCTATACATTATATAGGTTTTTATGGCTCTGCTTTGTTTTGTTTTGTTTTTTACTATCTTTTGTTGAATGTATTACAGATGTTCCTCATTTTTCCCCTATTGATCCTCTTCCTCCCCACTCCTGCCCTCCTCCTGCTTTTCCCCACACTGTTGTCTGTGTCCATTGGTTATGCATATATACATATAAGTTCTTCGGTTTATCTCTTCCTACCCCCAACCCCCTTTCCCTTTGAGGTTAGTAAGTCTAACAACCAATTTGTACTTCTTAATCCCTTCACCTTTTTCACCCATTCCCCCAACCCCCCTCCCACCAGGCAACCAACAGAATGTTCTCTGTATCTATGAGATGCTTCTGTTCTGCCTGTTCATTTTGTTTGTAGATTCAATTGTCGATAGATACGTATTCATTGCCATTTTGTTTGTTTATATTTTTTATCTTTTTCTTCAACAAGACCCTTCAACATTTCATATAATAATGGTTTGGTGGTGATGAACTCCTTTAGCTTTTTCTTGTCTGGAAACTATATGGTCATTGGTTGTAAATGACAGCTTTGCAGGATAGAGTAATCTTGGTTGTAGGTTCTTGCTTTTCATCACTTTGAATATTTTTTGCCACTCAAAGTTTCTTTTGAGAAATCAGCTGAGTCTTATGGGAACTCCCTTGTAGGTAACTAACTGCTTTTCTCTTGCTGCTTTTAAGATTCTCTCTTTGTCTTGAACCTCTTGCATTTTGATGATGATGTGTCTTGGTGTGGGCCTCTTGGGGTTCATCTTGTTTGGGACTCTCTGTGCTTCCTGGACTTGTATGTCTGTTTCCTTCACCAAGTTAGGGA